CCCACCACTAACATCTCTGGGCCTAGAGGGCCTCTATGAAACACACACAAGATGGAGATCTTGAAAACAGGCTTAATTTACCTAACATTCCACTTTAGGAGGGCAGTTACTTCAGATTTTCTAATCATTTCCCACTAATTGCCCTTGGCTCATGTTTTTCCAAAACTTCCTCTATGGGAGTGTTGGTCTTGTCTACAGTCAAAAAGACTTGTGTCTTTGAGGTTGAGGAATCTGAACCGCATAGCTTACTGTTTGTTTCTGTCTGTCTCTGCCTCTTTCTCTTCCCAGTTTGTCTCTAGATGTTTATTTTGTTCATTTTGGGCTTGAGAGTATTAAGTTAGGTTTCCTTACATATCTGACTTGGGTTTGCGTGTCTCCACAGTGGCCACTCTGCCAGTCCCAACACCTCCCAAGTGGTTTTCTCTTTTCTCTTATAATGTATAAATAATAAGCAATAATAATGAAGTGACCCAAAGTACTAAAGAATAGCTGTGATTCAAGCTTCCACATGTGCTGACCAGGCTACTCTATAGTCAATGACACTTAAGGAGTTCTTTCTTCTGCTAACAAACACTGTGGGGGAAATCAATGACATGTTCCCTGTCTTCTTTCCAAAGTAATCCATATACTTTGTAGGAAAATGTACAGCATTATTTTAAGCCACCTCTAAAACAGAGTTTGAAATGACTGCACCAAGACATTATTTGACATGATCACACTTATGTTAGAAAAAAAAAAAAAAGTGGATGCATGAAGAAAGTGTTGGTAGGAAAGATGCCCAAATTAGATAGACTGTCTTTGGGTAGGAGAATTGTAGGATTCTTTTTTATGTTTTGTTCTGTTTTGTTTTTAGGTTTTTACCATAGGGCACATGTGCTCACTGGAGAGAGAGATAGAAAGAAAAAGCAAAAAATCACCCCTCAGGGGGATGGACACATTGCTATCCCTTCTCCTCCATTCTCTTCGTAGGATTTTGGACACACACACACAAGCGCCTGGCATGATTTTCAAGCTGCCGGGCCCAAGACTCGAACCATAGTCTGCCACATGGGAGTCTAGCACCCTAACCATCACACCCGCCCGGCCCCAAGACTCGAACCATAGTCTGCCACATGGGAGTCTAGCACCCTAACCACCATGACACCTGCTGACCCCATATGGCTGTTTTTTTTTCCCTACTCTTAAAATTTCCAGTTTTTCTGCTGTGAACATGTATTATTTCTATGGTTATAAGAGATTAAATTCATTTCTTTCCAAAAGCAAGATACTACATTTACAATTCTTTCTGGCACTTGTGCCAAGCCCACTTTCTGCCAGCCAGACATGGAGCAACTGCCATGGCACCATTTCATGTCCAGATCTTCAAGGATTGAGACTCCCAGAACAAAGAGCATGATGCCAGTCAGTTCTATCCCCACCTCCCCTTGTGTTCCTATCTCCGTACCACCTTCACCTCTAGGGAAAGTCAAGAAAATATTCACATGGTCTTATTTAGATGTCATTGTCCCCTGTCCTTGATTTTTTCCATCCAGTCACATGATAAAGAGCTTTAGCCAAAGAAGGTTCATGTGATCTTAGTCCAACGCAGACCATGGGTGATAACTACTGCAGTGTGAATGTCACTATGTGTGGTCTGTCACCCATAGCCTCGCTCACATTCTGGAACTTCATTTGCTGAAGAGCAGAGCACCCCCTACCAGGAACTTCTGTAGCTCACTCACCTGACACAGTGGCATCTGGTTTCAAGCAGGAACTTACTTTACAACTGGAAATACTAATTTCTAACCAAATGCACAAGTGTGCGAGACAGTGACCAATCAGACCCTTCACAGCTCCCTGATTAAGAGAGGGTTTGTGAACTTCTGTCTGTGACCAGGACTCCACATAGCAGCCAAGGTTCGCCCACCCCACTGCGCCTCCACAAGCTGTCTCTTACTAGCTGCTCGTGCCCCTTCTCCTTGGCGCGGCATTTCTGCTGCCTACCGTGGAGGTGAACTCCGCTCAAAGGTGTGATCTCATTTCTTCACACCACTTAGCGCTGCTTACTTGAGCTGATTGGCCTCTTTCTTCCTCCTCACTTTCTGTATTGACCCATTTCATTCTATCTGCCTGCTTTTCTTCCTCCAAATGCTTTGTCCTCTCTCCCCATTCCACCTATGAAGGATTTCCACACTCCACTGTAACAGCGACAGAATCAGATCCCAGCCCTTCAATGGGTCATTCTCCCCTCTGAGCAAAATGCCAGGCCCAGATGGCATCCACAGAGTGTAGGGACCTCACTCCTGGGCTCAACATAAATGGAATGTGACTGTCAACTGCTAAGGTGGGTCTGAGGTGCTGGTTTGCAGGAGCTGACTGGCTATTTCCCACCCAAAACATTATTTCTCCCATCAACAGGCATTCTCAGTGAATAAGCCAAAAGCTAGTGTGATTCCGATGCTCTGAGGGGTCATCAAGAACACCACAAAGAGGTGGTCTGCCCTGTCCAATACAATAGAATAAAATTAAGTTAAAAATTCGGTTTCTCACTCACACTTGCCACAGGTCACATGCTCAGGAGACACAGGTGGCTATCAGTTACTAGTATGGACAGCACACATCCATCCTCAGGGAACACGTTCGACGTCACGGAATGCTCTACTGAAACTGAACCAAGGCCGTTCGTGAGACCACCCTGCACTCACATCACACCATGCTGAACAGTACAAGTAGCAAAGACTTAGTCCTCCATCCCACATACGTAGAACAGCATTTCCTGGGACTGGGAAGCACCTGTAAAACCACAGAAGAGTTTGGATGTGGCTTCCAGGGAGAGCCATTTCCCATTCCAGACCCCAGCTCACCAAATGACCACTGATCAGTGCTGACTGTCCCTTCCTCTGTCTCAGAAGGTGTTTTACAATCTATTATGATTGGCCCTTGAGCCACTCTCTTTCTCTTGCGCGGGCCACTCCTACCTCTTGGGAGTGTACTTTCACTTTTGCTTAATAAACTGTCCTTTACTTTCAGGCTTTGTCTGCCTGTCTTTCTCTCTCTCAATAACTACACAGATAAATCTAAAGGGGAAAAAAATACACTATTTTCTTTACATACATTCATGGGGCCTTGTTGACCCAAAAAGTTCAAATGAACAAAAAAGCAAATGCTAGCACAAAAAAAATGCTCCTTCATGGCCCTTTTCCTAAATCACTGCGTGAAAATCATACATGTGCTTGTCTCTCCCAAATCCGCCAAAACGACCCCTTCCAGACACAGCGATGTTACTGACAACGCACTCTGGTCAGGCCAGGCTACGACTTCCACCCACAGATCCTCTTATCCAACGAGTGTACCAGATGAAGACTAGAATGTGTGTGTTTGTGTGTGTTTGATGACTTTAAATCATTGATTTAAATTTAATCATTGTACATTAGTTAAATTTAATCATTGTACATCTTTATAGCATGCAATATACTTTTTCTTTCTCTACAGCCTAAACTTAAATCATTCTACTTTTTAATACTTTTAACAGCCAAATCCCTCACCACCACCTCCCCACCTCAGTAATGAGTCTTAGTAAACATTCTTCAAAGCTAGCATTCCTGGGAGCATGATGCATTTGTAGATGAGACATCCTGTATGCGTGCGTAACAGCTATGTGCTGGCGGCCAGGACCCACAACAGCCATCCACATGGGGATGGTGATGTTGGCTTTCCTTTTGCCTTCCTCTTCCCTCCTTCTGGGAGTAAATTATTACTCTTACCTTATATAGCAGAAAAATAAAAGGCGTGCATATCGTTTAGTGCGGACTAAGCTTCTGTTCCAATTTCGCGCAGGGAAATGCAGCAACTTACTCTGGCTTGTGGCCAAGGTACTGGCAAACAGCACTGCAGGAGCTTCCTCTATGCTTTGTGATTTCCGAACTGCTGTAACTGCTCTGTCGTGTGCCTGCCAAACATGTCAACCACAGTCCCCTGGCCTCCTGGGAGCCCCCAGCACACATCGGCTCAGGACTCACCCACCATTACTATTGTCTTGGTTTTCCTTGATTTCACATGAGCCTGAGTCCTCACCACCACCTGGCCACCTGCAACTTCTAAGACTGCTCTGCCCAAATGTCTTTCCAGGCATGTGAGCTGCTTCAGCTTCACTGACTAGGAAGGTATCTGCTCATCTGCTTCTTACCAGCCCCAGAAGTCTTCACAGACCATGCAGGTGGCCATACTAGCACCTGCTGATGGCCTGGTCTCTGTTCTCAACACCTCCAACAGCTTCACTGCACTCCACTCACCTCAAAATAACTCAAGGGATATGCCTGGGGCTCAAATTAGCCTTGAAGAAACAAATAAATGCATGAGGAGGGGATTTAGGAAGGTACCCTTATGGGCTGTAAACTATTAGTAGAATCCTTGTGCAAAGATGAGAATTCACAGGTCCATGGGAGGAAATGCCTTCACCTTGTCAAGGAAGCTCCTGGCTTCTGCGAAAGGACACCCACATTAGATACAAGTGCCAGGATGCAAGTATCTGGTCCTTTCCTGAGGCCAGCAAGGTAGATCAGATCAGAGCTGCTCCATGGATCCTCCACTGGGTATCAAAATAGGACAGTAGAGAGCTTGGGGATCCTGGAGCAGGGGGAATGAAATGACTTGATTCTGCCCCTTACTCTCTACCAGTGGCTTGGCTGCACCACATGAGGCTGAAGCAAGTAGGGCCTACTTCACAGGAATAACACAGCAACACGTGACAAGTCCCAAGTCAATGTCTGGCTCAGCATAATAAACCTGCTAGGAAACGTTTTGCTTGTTTTGCTTTTCATATTGTAAAATGTGCTCCATCTCCTGAAGGCACAGTAGTATAACTGATACTGTAAAGAAAATGTACCTGGGTCAGTTTCAAGAAATTGGCAAGGTTCCCAGGAAGAGTTATTTTATATTAAAATATATCTTCTTCTTATTCCCTGTGTTCTGTGCCTGTGATATACCTCTGAGCAGAAGGAAAGCAAGGTTTTGGAATGTACCTGAATCTAGGCTGTCCTCCTGGTCTTCAGGTTCTTTCGGTTGGACCTCCAAGCTTTTGACACTCTGAAAAAGACATGGTTAGGTGAATGTTTTCTTTAATAATATATCTGCTACACAAATGCTTGTGTCTTTATGTTTATGAACTAGGAAAGCAGCCTTGGAAAACAACAGTAAAAATATGTTATGTGCATTGCATTATGTAAACAGTCTTGTGCTTCATTAATATTATTTAAGAGCTGAAAACAAGGAAAAGATCTATCCCAAGTTGAAACACAGCTCAAGCTGCCCAGAGGTTATTTCATTCTCAGAGAATATCTCTTAGGTGAGCTCTTGCAATTGCATTGTTGGCAAACATCCACAGATATCAAACTAAGCACAAACTTGTTCTAGGAAATATGCTGACCTACTCTGCACATACAGCTAACCCCCAGAAAGGTAGTTAGGGCTGGTTATAGAGAGTAGAAATTGACAATTTGATAAAGGACTCAATTTTAAATTATTCTGAATGTGACTCCACGCACATACCTAGTTGTGTGTGTGAGTATAACTTTTCTTTTTATTAGTATTAGTCCTTATTTCAACTTTCACTCTGTAGAAAAGGGCAAAGAAGAATTCAGGGAAGAAATCATTACCTTTACATCTTCCTTTTCACATGATGTTCTGTGGGACACCAAATTCTTAATCTCTGCAAAAAGAATAAACCTCATCAAGATCTGCTGACTGGAAATTTCGTTGAAAAAGAAGAAGATGATGATGACAAAGAAGAAGAAGAAAGTAGATGACAAATGAGGTGCCCAGGAGTCATCATCACAGAGCTAAGTTTTTAGATGAGGCTTCTTAAAAATCAGCTCTCCACAGAGCAGAATATCTATCCGATAACCTGATTGCCCACACTCTGGTATTATTTGTATGGACCAAGAAGTAAGCAAGCCAGGAGCTCACAGGAAATCCTGAGGGGGGGAAATGACCATTAAATAAACAAATGTCCTTGATTCCAAAGGAAGGCTGTCACTGCCGAATGCTCTTCAAAACAGCACAGACTGCGAGGATGTGACTCGTGCCTACCTGAGGAAATCTCCCACACACGGCTATTTCCTCAAATACACAGACTTCAATAAGCTTCAAAAGAGCTTTCAAAGAGCATCATCCATTCTAGAAGAGGCTGACTTTCCTTGCACATCGCTGAAAGTCAAGAACATCAGCACAGCCCTTTGCTTCTGCCCCAGCCAGGAGGGGCAGGGCCAGCCCAGGCACACGGGCTGTCCTCCTCCTGAATAAAGACTTTCCTGCAAATAGCAGTGATTGGGATGCTCTGGGGTGAACAGGAAGGCTCACTTAACAAGATATTTTTCTCTGTGGTTTGATTGATTGGTTCTGGTTCCAAATATTGTCAACAAGAGCCACTGTTGTACCAACTACCACGAGCAGGTTTGGGGCCTGAAAGACCTAAAAGTGGTGGATATTCTTAAAGCGTAGAAGACTTCAGATATTTCCTCTGGATATGTAGTACTAGACAACTTGTAGGAACCCAAGCTCTTTTCTGGACTCTGAGCTTCCCTACCCTCATGGCTTACTTGATGCTAATCCTGGAAAAATTCTGTAAGTTTTCGCACCAGGTACATTAACTAGACATAGGCTACTGTACTTTGCTACTCTATTTTTTTTTTAATTTGCTATAGGGCACATGCACTCACCAGAGAGACACAGGGGGGAGGGGGGTTGTAAAAAATCACCCCCAGGAAAAATGGCCATGCCATAATCCCTTCTCCTCTGTTCTTCTTTGGGGATTTTAGATATATGTGCACACATGTTCACCATGTGTCTTAGGTTGCTGGGTCTGGGACTTGAACTGCATGGTTAGCCGTGTGGGATTCAGTTGCTTTAACCACCATGACACTAGCTGGCCCCTACTCTTTTGTTACATTTTTTTTTATTTTTAAATTGATTTAATTTTTTAAAGACAGGGTCTCAGCCTCTCAGCTGATATAACAGACTAGCAGGTGCCATCTGACTGGTTCTTTCTTAGATAGAGTCTTGTTATGTTGCCCAGGCCAGCCATGAGCTCACGATCCACTAGCTTTAGCCTCTCATGTCACTGGGCACAAGTGCATATCACTGTGCCTGACCTTTAGTTAGGACCAGGACTCAAACCTGGGCCTCCTACATGGTCCCAGCCTGTGAAGCGCAGCATCTGAGCCACTGTGGCTGCACCTACTTGCCACTTCTGCTCATTTACATTACCTAATGTCTCTAGCCTCCAAGTGGGTTTACTCAAGCTCTTCTTACTGCCAGGCAACAATGCTAGGCATTTCATCCATGTTTCTGCTTAGAAAAAGTATAAAGCAAGTCTTTGTAAGTCTCTACATGACAAAGCATAGTAACAATGACAAATTATAAGGAAAAACTAGTAAGTAACAATGCAAGGATAGGGAAGAAAACCCAACAATCTCCCACACCAACTGAATTTATCTGACATCCAGCAAGTAATACACATTTGTGCTCCATCAAGGCATAGTTCTCTTGAATGCATAAAACATACAAGGAGTCTTCAAGAAGCTCATAGAAAAAGCATATTATGAAAAAAAAATAGATTTCAAAAAAAAATTTGCACCAAAATAAACTCATACTTTAGTTACATTTGTGCACAAACTCTTTTGAAGTTCTTTCATATTATCTTATATGATTAAAATTATTAAGATAATACCCTCAACTTTGTGTGGTCCTGTCAATTGATCTCAACAGGGAATGAAGACAAAGCCATAGCACACATTCAGCCTGGGCAGTTTGTGCTCCCCAGCATCTCTGCCCACCTTTAGATGTGCATCTCACATAAGGCCTGAAGGTGGCAGCAGAGGAATATTTGCATGACTGACATTGCCCAAGGTTCTGAAGTCAAACTGGTCCAACCCTGTCCTTCAAGAGCCTGCCTTTAAGCAGGAGAGTCTAAAATACAACGCTGAAATAAACTTTTTCATTCACCACACAGATGCAAAAAATCGATGTAAAGCACCTACCATGGGGTTTGTTACACTGTATATGCACAGTAGGGGCTGTGTTTTGTTTTGAAACTCATATACCTAAACTAAAAATTGAGGTAAGTGGGAAAGATACCAACAAAATATTAAAACAAAAAATAAAATAAAATAAAAAAGAAAGAAAGAAAAAGAAAAAGGAAGGAAGGGTAACCAGAACCAAAGTTTCAAGACATGTCTGCATAGACATCAAAAGAATAGGATATTCTTTGATGCTATCTCTGACCATAAGCTCTTATTAAATGGTAATTATATTGCATTTCTAAAGAATTCAATACATGTAGGATTTATACAGAAGAATATTACACATTTTATTACAGAGTCCTAACAAAAAAGGCAGGAAAATCGGAATCTAGTTTGCAATAACAAAGATGTTCACTGCTCACAGTATACTAGGGTTCCAGCTTCTCTGTCTCCAAAGACTGGTGAGCTCATCCTTCACTGCCAGGCCTACGTTTGTCCTGACAGTCTAGTATAAATTTTTTTTTTCATCTTTAAAGCCAGTACTACAATAGGGGCCAGCAGGTGGTGTGGTGGTTAAAGGCTCTGGATTCCCATAGAGCTGACTATGATTGGAGTCCCAGACTTGGTGGCTTGCTTTCTTGCTTTCCCTTTCTCTGTGTGTGTGTCTCTGTCTGAATTTAAAATGATAATAATAATAATAATAAATGTAATTAAATGAATAGATCTTTTTAAAAAAATACTATGACCTACATTAAAATATGTGAGTCTTCATAAAAATTATACTTCATCATTCTAAAGGTGTTTTCAAATTAATGAAGTCTTTAGCCTAAAACAATTGACGATATTTGTGACAGTATGTAGATTCAGGTTAATAATATGCCTTGAATTAAGCTAGGACTAAACTAGATCTTGGAGCTTTCAAAGAACTTGGCACTCATTCTACTGCAGTTTAATTAAATTGCTCCAGGAGAGTTTCTGCTAAATTAGTAGGATCCTTTTACACTAACCCACTGTACCACCAATTGCACCATGCAATCAAACCACTCATTGCTATAGCAACCTTCAGCAGATAATGGTGTCAGTAACTCCCTATTCTGTTTTAAAGGCCTATTAATCCTGCCTTAAAGACCCACCCAGGAGTAAGGATTACTCCTCTAAATCAGACTTACCAAACTTGATAAACATCTTATTATTGCCAAACTATAATGGAACAAGAGATAATCTCTAAAACTTACATTCATTAGTAACACTGTCCCAGCAAACAGGGTTAAGTAGCTTTAATATTAATACCACTGTCTCATTAAGAAGCAGGTTTGCCTAAAAGATCTCAAGTCTGTGCATAAGTCTTACCGTCTCCTTGTGCAAAATGGGAACACAGAGCTTAGACTTAAAGAAAAAGTTTATATCAAAAATGCAGGATGTGAGCTAACCTTGTAGCCTCGTGGTTAAAGGAACCAGATCCCACATGGCTAGCTACATGGTTTGAATCCAGGCCTCGACAACTTCAAAAACACACTGGGGCAAATGTGCGTGCATGCCCCAAATCCTGACAGAATGGAGAAATGGAGAAGGGATTATAGCATGACCATGCCCCCATGGGTTTTCTCTCTCTTTCTGGAGAGTGCACCTACCCTCTAGCAATAATAAAAATAAATAAGTAATTCGGTATACTCAGTATTCTCCTGTAATTGTCATTTGGCTGTGCCATCTGACTTTTCTCACAGGAAGGAGAGAGAAAAAAATCATCATCAAAGCCAGTCACACCACCAGAGCTGCCTGGTCCCGACCCTCAGATCTCACTGTCCACAACTGGTTTGGATCTGCAGGGCAGGGCTGAAAGCACAGCAGGAAAACAAGGGTCATACTTTCAGTTTGTTCCGCCCACCACAAATGCCAAGCAAACACCTTGATGGTAGGTGTTTACAGCGTCCCCATGCACCCCTCTGGCAATCACAGAGAGTGGTTTGTAGTCTCTGAATGAATCCTTTTCTTCCGATAGGCTGTGAATTCTGGATCAAATTGATTTGGGCTCAACTCTTCTATCCTCCAGGGTGCTTGGCACATAGTAAGGGTAAATAGATGCTTCTCTCCTCCACCTACATCGCGTAGCCCAAAATATACATAACTGACAAGATGTGGAGGATGATTCAACATGTGTGGATTGGGATGGAGAAGGGAAAGTTGTTTACTTTTTTGAATCACTAATTCAAACACTTCCGATACTAGCACTGTTTTAGCACAACTTCTGAATTGCCAGATTGATCAGACAGATGAATGTTTTTCTCCTGGCTTCCTCCCACCCTTCTAGCCCTGTAACTCCAAAAGCCTCCCCTTCCTCTCCAGTTATGTATTCTTGCTTCCCTAGTAACTACTGTGCCTGCAGGCTGCTACCTTGTTTTATCCTAGTGCACAGGTCCAGTAACACAACTGCCTGAGAATTCAAATGGCCAGGGGAATGAACCTGAGAAAACATCTGTGACTCCTAGTTCAGAAACTAGTATAACATTTTGAATTTTTGTTTCAATTTTCCAATGATCTCTTTTTTTCTAAAAACAGGAATACCAAGAACTTTCCTTTGTCTGCCTAGTAGAAATAGCAGCTAGGAGGAACAATGATGCACTCATCTATAGAAATATCAAAATGAGCCATATTGACGAGTGTCCCCATGTGTATGCCCTTCAGTTCAGCA